TTCTGTTTCTTACACTACGAAAGTGTCATCCACATATCTCCAGCTGTCCATAAATATATCTGCTACGATAGGGGATATTGGTGATCCCATCCCTAAACCATCTGTTTGTTTATATATTTCACCCTGGAATTTAAAGATAGTAGATGTGAGGCATACCAGAATTCCTAAAAAAGATTTCTTAAAATGGGCAGCTTCGTCCTATGAGTGAGTTCAGGATCTTCTGTAAGTTCCCTTTTAACTGCTTCTAAGGCGGGCATATTGATTGGTGTATTAGTATAACGGCTAGGTCACGTGCTGCGCATGCCTAACCATCGCCTCCCCCGACGGGCATTACTAGCTGATATAGGTGCAGGTTGGAAAAGAGAGAGTGGTGGCCAAACAAAAACATGGCCTCATCAATCCATGAAGTCCTTGACAGTTAAACTGAGTTGGTCAGGTAGGGAGATGCAGACTTCCGGGTTGGGGCCCTCGGGACTCTAGGAATCAATGGCTGGAGACTATAGGTGACATGGCTCAAAATCGTTGTCAATGGCGCAGATGTATTCAGTCTCTGTAATCTTTCATATTCCTTTCTACCATTACCCATTCTGTTTCACTCCTATACTTGTCAGACTGTATTGATTCTCTTCACTCATCTTCTTGTCTACGTTTGTATGCTATTTGGAACGTGGCAACTCGAACTTCTGCACTTCGGTGCCAAGTTCTATGTTGAATCCAGACAGACAGTATTAGTATAAAGACTAGTTATATCAAAACTAACCATTGTTTCATCATTCTCTAGTTGAATGTCATTTAGTTTATTTTTCATCTCATATAAATTAGTTAGTCTAGAGTTTGAACGATTTCTAATGTGGCATAATATTAGAGCTAAGTGTTTTGATAATTCATAATTGGGGGTATTTCTAAATTCTACTATTGGTCTTATGGGGTAGCCTGGCTTATGTATTTTAATAGTACCATATATTCTACTAGCGTTATTAACTTTAGGCATTAAATTAAACCATTTAGATTCACCCAGTGACGGCTTCATTCTACGAATTAGTTCTGCCGTAGATTTCTTAACCTTATTGATTATTGTGTCTACAGGCTTCATAATTTCTTCATATGGATCCGTCTGGATATGTTCAGTGACTTTTTTTGATATAGTCAAATTTATCCAAAACTACGGTGGCATTTCCATTGTCAGCTTTTGCGATGACAATGTTTTTATCCTGTTTTAGACAAATTAAAGCTTCTCTTTCTGATTTTGCTTTCTTTCGAGCTTTCAGGGTTAGTGCACATTTTGCTCGAACCTCTTCTGCTGTCATCTTACCTTGAACTTGATATGATTATGAGCAATAGTTTGTGCTCGAAACATGGTCATCAGTTAATATTACTGTATAACACTGTGTGCTTTATCAAAATAAAATCTTATGTGCGTCGGTGGCACAGTGGTTAGGACTCTCGCCGACCATGCACATGGGCCGTAGTTCGAGCCCGCGCCGGCGCACACCTGATATCTATGGTCGGCCTGCAAAATTTGGGCTACCGATATCCATGCTGAAAATTCCATACTTGTACCAAAAATACAGTTTGGAATCAAGCTGTAAATCAAAAAAAAAAATTCCACAATGGAGTTATACTCTAACACAGTGCCCAAGTTTCCTACTTATATGTCGTCTTACCTGTTGAACTTAATGCTACCTTCTATATCAGGAATGACATCCTCTGGTTTTAGTTTACTAACTGTTATGTTGAAATTTAGTCCTTTCTCGAATGCTTTTATCTCACTTAGAGCTCAGTTCCCTTGGCGGAAGAAAGGAATACAATACATGAATTTGACGCCACCGTTTCATTCTCTATTAACAGAGCAAAATGGGTGATCACCCTCTCGCTCGTCAGTAGAAGACTCGCGGTTGAATACCCTCATTATTTAGCACTCTATTGCGATATGCGTTTAGTTGTCTGTGCATAAATCTCTAAATAACTGAAAATACATCTCAGTTTGGAAAGAAAGATCGCAAAGTATAAATCCAGTTGAAGACGGCCAAATTGTCATTCTTGCTATATATTCCTAGTCTGACACTAAACTAGTATAACTGACTTGAAGAATAACAGTTATGTACTACAATCAGAAAAAAACACAACGCGAGGAAGAACGATAGATATCAGGGAGGATAACGCTCATTCTATACATCTGGGAGATGCAGTTGCTCTAACAAAGACGATTTTGAGCAGTGTCACCAGCAATTACCGCTCACAGCTGTATATGTTACACCATCCTACATGGCTCGAACGAACGGTCAAAGACCTAATTGATTGAAGTATGCGGTGAAGATGTGTTGCTTAGCAGGGCAATGAAAGCTTAGCAAATAAACCATCCAGCTCAGAGAACACAAGTACATTCATAAAATCGAAGATTGAGCGAAGAAATATTTACTTTTCAATTAGATCCTCATCTCACTCTGGCTCTACTCTAATATATATGGCATTTTAATTACAATACAACAGTTTGCCAATCAAGTGGCACCGATATGTTTGTTAACAATAATTAAACAGTGTCAATGGGTTAATAGTTAACGAAGAAAATCAATACACTCAATTAAAAGGTAGAAATGGATAGAATAAATTAATTTTACAAGAATAACACGTAATTTAAAGATAAAGTGGTCAAAATAAAGTAAATAAAAATAAAAAAAATAATTTAGACAATTATAATTTTTATAGGTTTAGGGGGAGGGGGGCGACGCAGTCCTGTTTATCCATTCTTGTGACGATGGCCACGGTAGGGAAAGTGGCTATACAATTTTTTTTCTGTACACATAGGCTTGGCTTTTTCAGGTGAATTCCGATTGCTTGAGCCGTCTGTAGAAGACGAACTCGCAGAGCAAAATTAAGATAAGTCGGAATGCGATAAATAATTTTAAATGCACTGTTCACATCAATCTTATGCTCAGTATCAACGAGGTGGGCGAAAATAGAACTACGAATAATCTTTTTTGTCCCTTACTTAACCACGTTGGATGATGTTCGGAAATACGACGATGAACTTACCTAATTGTACGCCCAATGTAGCTGCAGTCAAACTGGTAGATACACATAGAGGAGGCGAATTTAGGTAGTTTATCCTTATTTCTCGAACATAAAATAGGGGTGGTTGTAAAGAGACAACGTACCTCTGCTGCATAATAAGTTCTTTTAACTGCATTCTTCAGGCGTTGTGTTATTATTTTGCTGATGTTGTCACCGAGGAACTGCAATTTTATGAACATTGGTTTTTTCGGAACTGTAGCCATACTGCCTCTCCTTGGAGCTGAATTCATATTTTTCTCAATGAATTTATCTGGATAGCCATTTTTTCTAAGTAATTCTCTAGTAATCTTAAGCTCCTCATTGAGGCCGTCGTCGGGACAGATTAACCTAGCTCTCTATGAGCCAGACACTTCATGAGGTTACGTTTATATTTCAAAGGTATAAAACTCAAAAAATGAGTGTACTGATCTGTTGTTGTTGAAAAGTAAATATTTCTTCGCTCAATCTTTCTGTTTTCTAAATGCCTAAATGGGGATTTTTTCTTTATTCATAAAATCATCCACCTGAGCTACAAATCTTCTCCATTATGTGTAATTTGATTTGGTTTCCATGTTTTATTTCAACTCTTTCTTGCTCTTTTTCAATCTCATCCAATATATCAGTCAACATTGCTCGATATGAACAGTGATAGCTTGCCATTCGTAACACATCTCTCTTTGCCAGCTTCATAACCTCACATCAATTCACTGAAGCTCTGACCATTCACACAGAAAAGACCGGAGTTGTGTATACAAAAGAGAATTACTCAACCACTTCTAATGTCATGTTAACAACTTTGTTGATTTTTGATGACTTAATTTTGTCTGTTTCTTTAATTGCTTATAATTCTTGTAATCATTTAGAAGCCTTACGCATTGCGTATTCTCTTCTTTGTTCCTATGTGTATCCTAAGTAAAACTCAATCATCAAACTATTCATATTATTATTACTACATAACTTCTTTTAAAAACTGTTTGTGACAACTCATCAACCTTTGTTACTACCCTAATTTCATGACTTGTATTACCAATCTTCACCTGTTTAGTTAAAATAACTATAACCAATTGTAATTTTGTTTGCCAAACTTAATGTACACATGCATACAAAATAACACATATACATATTTGCGATTGTACAGCTAATAAAATAAATTCACCGGTGAAAAGAGACTCTTCGCTAGACTACGTTTTGTTTCATTAATATACAGTAAGCACAACCTCGTTTCTAATGACCATACTGCAGCACCATACGCAGACACATATATGATCGAAAAAGTTGATCTTTTTCCTATCTTATACTTTTAACAGACGCAAAAGAAGGACGAAGTGAACTGTTGCACAGTACACACATTATTTGATAGATGACTGGGACAGCATGCCTGCCTCCGCACATGATCCATGTTGACAAATACCAAACGAGTCTTTTATATCTATGTTGAACTTTAATCAGTAATCAGTCCATTTGGGCTGCTGAGGCAATCATTTCACTAACAAACCAGTCCGACAGCATCATCGGACAATCGACTGTAGCATATCTCGCATGCTGTACATACTAAGATTTTTGGTCGAAATATTCAAAGTATTCTGCATTTGACCAGCAGCATCTTCACCTCGGATTATATATCATATACATGTTGTGAATCAATAAGATTATTTCCTGGTAACAAGTCAATAATCCCGAAATCGGAAAGGTCGATAAGGGGTCATATCCCCACCCGCCGCCTTATATTATTCTATTAATGCTACTACAAAGTGCGCGCAGTACAATTATCCCAACACCACTACCAACCACCACCTCCTCCTCAGAACAGACTCATTTCAACGTAATCGAAAATTGGAAGACTAAAAACAAAAGACATTCCATTTATAAACTCTTAAACGTATGTATTTACATACAATCAGAATCTTGTCATGTGAGGAAACACAGCAGGATCGACAGCCAAGTTCTAATCAGTACATATTGATTGAATTATTAGACCGAGGCATCTTGATACGATCCAGATTTTTAATTATTATGTCATGCAAAGTAGCCTAAATACCAAAACAAAAGAAAAAAGCTATAGTTCATAGATCAAAAACCCTTAGAAGATATATATATATTATATATATATATGTTCCTTGGGATGGGCGGTTTGATTCCGGACGCTTTATTGTCTTTCGAGACATGTTCAGCGCTAAGTCCAGCCTCAAGATGGTCGGGGGTGGGTGCCTTGCGCTGCGGGTTGGCCATAAGTCTGATTGATATCACTGCTAAGGTTTTTGTTTCCATTCTCCTGAACCGCTTCGCTGCCGAACGCGACGTGCGAACAAGGCCAAATCAAGCCAGATTTCGACCTGGAATTATTAGCGGTTCAGGAGAATGGAAACAAAAACCTTAGCAGTGATATTTCTCGCATAGTGATCTATCTCCCTTTTTGTGGAACGGTAGCAGAACTGAGGTGCTCCAATAGGAAGGAATTGTTTCGGAATCCCAAATTGAGCAGAACAGCGAGTGCAGCGAATCGATTAGCGCTGGAGTGCAGGCCTTGTATATTTCTGGAGGTAGACCATCTTCGCCCGGACCTCTTGTTGTTTCTGAGTCTGTTAATTATTTTACCTATTTCGGTTGGAGTGGGTGGATCGCAGTCAATTACGTAGGGTGTTGGTGAGTGTCGCATCGGTCGGTGAGACGGTTGACCAGCGTTGCGATTGAGTAGCTGCTTGAAATGTTCGGCCCATCGTTCCATCTTACCATTGGTGTCCGAAATAATTTCTCCTGATGCTGTGCGTAACACAGCATAATTGGTAAGGCGTTTGCCAGATGATAGGCGTATGAGGCGATAAAGTTTTCCGAAATCGCCTACATTTGATGCTGCTTCCATGCTAGTCGCTACATGAGACCAATAGCGATTTCTGTCATTCCTAGCAGACTGTGTAGCTTTGCGCCTGAGGGAGCGATAAGCTGGAGACTTTGCTACGCGAGCGTCTCTGGCTTGCGAGGACAGATGCATGGTGTGATCCAGTCCAGTCTTTCTGCTTGTCGGATGTGGTACCCAAATGCGACATTGAAGCTGTAGAGACTACTTCTTTGAAATGATTCCATCGTGTCTCAGGTGTATTAGAAGATGTGGATGTTGGTTCATCTGCGGCGCTTAGTTCAACCTGGATTTGTTTGGACAAGGCTTGTCGCTTTGCCGAACATTGAAGCGGGACAACATTGATACGCTTTCTGGCCATATCTGATCTTCACATTATGGAGTAAAAAGTAGTTTGACAGTAAGTTGGAATCCAATAATTCAATGGTCTCCACTTCTTTTATTAATTCAATAGGCTTTCGAATAACAATCCAACATAAAGTGCTCTATACAGTGGTTAACACCAATTCCCTTTTTTAACACTATAAGCCTTTAACTACAAACTACATGAGATAAGGAACATTTATTTGTGTTTAGCCAACATCAGTATTTCCTTATTATTAATACTTTGCGCTTTATTAAGTCGAGCATAATACAGTTCCAAGCGTGAACTTTGAAGTTCCATTAGCAATGGTATTGTTTTCTTGCGTGGAGGGAGATTGATAGCCTCACACACACAATCTTCCCTCTCTACCAGGCTTATTACTAGCAGCAGTCAAGAGGTGCTCGGGAGTATGTCAGCTAGGAATTGCATCCGAATCACGTGTAGGTAGGTGGTTGGTGAGCACTCTATCATACAACCACCGCCGATACACAAATCAATCAATCAATCAATTAACCCATGATACAGACGTATTACCCCGTTAATAAATTACAATAATAAAAATAACTCTTACATAATGATTGCGAATTTCCATTATAATATATCGCATAGTTATTGCTTGTTTCTCATCCATATCTCGAATACATTCACGATAATCCTCTATATGAGGGAACTTGGCAACTTTTCCAACCAGTTTACCCCTTGAAGCATAATACCTGTGTGAATAAATGATGGGGAGAAAAAAAAGCAAATCAACTGTGAATTCATTTCAGAAGAAACTTTAATCCTATAAAAATGTAATGAACCAATCACTGTAGAAGTTAAACTATAAGACCCCGAACTTCTCTATATAGGTGAACCGAAGTTTTAAGTACTTATTACCTAATGGTTGGAGGCTGAGTAGTTCAACCAATGTATGAGTCACAGCTATACACACATAATTTCTTGGAATATCTACACCATTGTTCAAGCGTTTGCATGCAACCCTTGAATACCGCAGTGACCCAACAAGCTTAACAAAGACTGAGATGGTTAGGACATGTGTTACGTATGCCAAGCCATCGCCTCCCTCGACGAGCAATGTTAGCGGATATAGGGTCAGGCTGGAAAAAAGCTAGCGGCGGTCAAACAAAAACTTGGCATCAGTCAATGAAATCCACAACAGTTGGTCTAAGCCACGTAGAAAGGTGTAGACTTCCAGGCTGGGGTCCTCGGGACGGTAAAAATCTATGGTTGGAAACAATTGGTGACATGGCTCAAAATCGTTCTCAGTGGCGCAGATGCATCCACTCCTTGTGACTTATGATCTTCAATGAAACTGTTTTGTATTTCTTTATTACTCCTTTGTCTCACACCTCTGCTCACTGTTTCTATTATGCTTTTCTTGTACTTTCTTATCTTGCTTCGCGTGCTACACGGAATGTGGCGACTTGAACTTCCGCACATTTGTGCAAAGTTCTATGTCGAAAACAGACAGACAGAACTGGTTGGGACTCATGTTCCTGCAGGTCCTACCATGTCAGGAAGGTTGTTTGGATAGCGGTCAAACTAAAAGCAGTTACCATGGGGTACATGAGCTCCAGAATCCGATCGAATCAAATCGCGTACGAACCCATATTGGTCACCGGGATCCATGGGAATGCAACTCCTGACGCTACTCCCCTTCCTTCCCCCAAGTCTAAGGTTCAAGGGGTGGTCCCTTAAGAAAACCACCTACTTCGACCTGGGGGCCCGGGCAGTATCTCAGCCCCCACACAATAAATGAAATTTTAGTGTAGCGCATCTTTCTTGGTGCCATATTGCACCAGGTTTTTTCTGCGTTTAAATAAAAGAAATAAAATGCAACACATTCATCAAGACCCTGTGACATTGTCTGTATTCCCCGATGAACAGTATCAGCTGACTGAATGAATTTCGACATAGAAAACTGTACAGAAGTGCGACAATTCGACAAATCGCCACACCCCATGAAGAAGCACACAAAGACAGAACACTTCCAAAGAAAAGTGTCCTGTTTTAATATATACTTACACTTTAACAGTGCCATTACCAAACATTTCCTTAGTACGGATCATGAGGTGGGAATCAAAAGACAAAAAGACTCAATTCTCCTCATGTTTTTTGAGGGAAGCAATCTGTATCAAACGCCTGAAACCCGATTTATGTATTCAAAAAGAAGCAGTCGCCAGTCTTTCTTTCTCATGATAACCGAATGGCTTTGTTCTCTCCTTCGTTTGATTACGTAATCTTCTTTGCCTTTAACCTCGCTCTCTCCCCCGTTGACATAGTGTGATTTTGCTTGTCATTTGTTTCGATGATTTGAGTTGAACTCAGTACATTATTACCTAATCTATTAGTCACTCATCATCTTACGCATCTCCCGCGTTTATTAAGTAACCCCTATGCCATTCGTACGTATACACTTTGTTTAAACTTGAACTACCTGTGTAAAAATTATATATAAACGTAATTTTCTGAGTACTGCTCACTAATTTCGGAACCTCCTTTCAACTGACACCACGTCAAATTTGCAGTTATGTATAAAATTGTCTGTATATGAACTTAACAATAATTTATTTAGGCTGTAAGCAGCTGATGAGACACCAACGAAATAAACAATGTTGGTACCATATTATTCTGATAAAACTGTTGTTCTTGCTTTATTGATAGACTAAGGGTTTAACTGCGCCCCCCAGTTATATATATATATATATATATATATATATATATATATATATGCCGAGCAATGCTGGGGACATCACTCGTACAAAATTCCCATGAAACTTCATGAACTCTCTTACAAATTGCCGCGCCTGGGCAGCGATGATTCGAGACGTTCATGAAGCCGGCTCATCCTCCCGTAGGAGATAGCCGAAGTAAAGTAAAGTAAGTATATATATATATATATATAGAATCAAATCTGCACCCACTGTTACCTCACGCATCTGTAGCCCTGACGCTCTAGAAGAATTAGACCTTCTGAAATGGACACTCACCTTCATTCACTGACAACGACATCAAACCGAGAGTTCAGATGAAGGAAACATCATTTAAACCAAAAAAGTAACTTTAATGGAACCTTGATTTCAAGGGACGCCTAACCATCCGTGAATATCCTTGAGAGAAGAATAGTCTTCATAACAATGCTACGAATAGTGTTCTCCAGAAGCCTGAAAGGTAAGATTTCGCATATGACCTTTTCTATGTGTATTTTTCAGTTCGTGTGGAGGTAGGTACATTAGTCGCTGGACCACTATCGTGATTGAAAGGGTTCAAACAACACCATCCTGCATGGCTATAGGAAGGTAGTAATGACTCTATAAACAATAATGTGATAATTGAACACACTGTGTACACTAGTCAATCTATCTCACTAAGCCTCTTCAAAGTAATGTACAAAGTGAAGAACAATTCGCTTTTGTCTACTCTGCATCACAGTGTTGTTGTTTTGAAGATGCTAAATATGTTCAGTGTGTCCTGGTGGATTGAACATTTGACTTTTTTAACTCTGCATGTAGACCGCTTTTATTCAATAAGCTTGCGATGATAAACACTGGGTGCTGGATTGTTAACTGGTTGTTATCTTATTTTTCTGACAGAAAGCAATGTATGTCTGTATGGTTAACTAGCACGCCAAGCCAAGCCACACAGCCGACAAAGTTTAGATTCGACCTCTATCGGCATCACCATGGATGTGTACTGATGAAGAGTCCAAAGCTAGGACGAGACAGTCCATCAGTACTACACAGTGGATTTCAATGGTTCACTCAAATTCCTACAAGCTAACACCTGAAAATAAAACCTGACCAGAAATAAAACGCACTTAAAAAGTATCTTATGATTCTAATTAAGAGCAGTAAAGATATATCATCAGTAGTAACAACTATATCACTGAAACAACAACTATTACTACGACAAACCTTGTTACTTGATCTAGAAACGTGCACGCATCTCTTTCAATACTTGATGCTTCAGCCAATATCTCTTCTTGTATGCCAACACCAAAGTTATTACCATCTTCAATTCGTGGTATATTAAATTGGACCCATAGACGCACAATTTGTGCTTCAATCATTAGTTGAGTTAAGCATGGTTTAGTTCTCTATGTAAAGGAAAATAAATAAATAAACATAAGTGCAAAAATTAATCCTTATGAAATAACTTTTAGTAAATAAAATACTCATTAAGCCAATCAGTGATCGTAGTGATATATATACTTGACTGACAAAACTCAGTCTGCACTTACAACACGCAATACACACACGAAGTCAGTTACTACCTACTGTTCAATCAAAGTATTCATTACACACATCTACCTACAGCAGGTCGATCGCGAGCCCCGATAATTTCAGTGGTAATGTCTCTGATTGCAGCACTGGATGACTCGGGTTTGATTCTCAGAAGCGACATGAATTCCTTGAGGATTGCAGATACGCCGTGCTGATGAATGACAACAAGCAAGAAACCTAGGTCGCAAAAGAGCTTCCTGCCGATTGTCGCCAACCATCTCATAACAACAATTCAGAATGCAGTGTGATGAAGGGTCACCTAGCGTAGTAGTCAAATTGCAAACTTTTACTGATAGAATTCAATTCGCAAAGGCATAAAGGACTAGACGCATGATATTTAGTTACTACCTTGTCTTAAAAATTCGTGTCTAATCGTCTCTAAGTCATGGATAGTCATAAAAAACCACCCGGTACGGCTGACGGTCGGTAGATGTCAGTCATCTCCTCAAAATACTTTCATGTGCCCAACCGTTCAAAACCTCTTCTAAGTAAATCCTGATCACTACCTACCTATATGCCGCTGAAGTGTTCCTCAAAATAAGTGAAGGGGCGAATACGAATATCTGGCACTTACAACCGAACTGAAGAACATTCACGTCTACCCAGGGGAACTTTTCAAGCACTTTATGATGTACATGGGCTCAAGAATCAGAACGAACTAGATGGAGTATGAACCTTTTTTCGCCACAGGATCCCGTGGGAACATATCTCCTGACGCTTCTCCATTATCTTTTGGCCCAGACTTTAAGTCTCTGAAGCCAACCTTCTGCTTCAGTCTAGGCATTTGGACAGTACCTCGGCTCACGGACATATCTCTTGGTTCCCATAATGTCTGTACAATTTGTGTTTGAATAATAAACAAAAATCTTAAAAAATGTTTGATCTGTGATCAAGACTTCATCGGATAATTCCACAAACTGATTATTAGCCGAATCTGGGATACACTGTACACCCTATGTCTACTCTTATGGTTTGTCTTTAATCGAATGAAAGGTTATCGTGACCTGATAAAAGTTGTAAGTGATATCCAATAATGTGTGTATGAATGAACACTTCCGTATCATTTTTCAGCGCATATTCAAAATAAAATAAAAAAAAACGACATTATTGTGGGTTGGTTGCAATTTCAGGTCGTAAGTGTATCAAGTTTTTATATTTCATAAATCCATAATGAAAGAATTGGTCATTATGATAAAATATAAATGGAGTGGAAACTCTAACAGTACTGGACAGCTGTTCCGTTCATGTTTGGGACTCTTCATCGGTACACACCCACGAATAAGTTGGGGCATCGGACCGGTTACCTTCGGATTACACGATCAAGGTGGTTGACGATTCTAGCCCTTTGAGTGGGAATTCAAAAATCTGGGAATTCTAACTTTTGCCGATTTGTGACTTATACAGCGCTATCCGCTTACAATGCTTTCGATGACCATTCACCTCACACACCTTGACACGGTGTACCCCACTAGTTACAACTCCTTATGACAGCTTCAAAACATCCCCAGAGCTGTAATCAATGAGTTGAAAGTTGATGTTTAGATTATGGGACTTGTGAGGACTCGAATTAAATATCCAGCGGAGATTTCATTACAAACAGTAAAAAATCTATTAGAGAGGTCATTGAAAACCACAGAGCATTGAACAGACATATTTCGTTCTAGTCTGGTATTCTCTAAAGATATTTATTTATTTATTATTTATTTAAACGCATAAAAACTTGTTACAATGTGGCACCAAGAAGGATGCGCCACACAATAATAATATATATATATATATATATATATATATATATATATATAAGTAGAGAACGGATAAAGAACTTCATTTGGAAGGAAAACAGTCATGCTTAACATGTCCAAACAGTATTCGTTAACTATCATCGGGAAGGAAAGAAAGAAGGAAATTGCAACACGTGTAATAGCACGCGATAAGTTTCATTGATTGTTTGTTGCTTTATTCAATTCATTGTATGAGGGCTTAGATACTTCCCGGGAGCCCAGACCGAAGCAGGTGGTTTTATTAAGGGACCGCCCCCCGAGCCTTTGACGTAGAGTCTAATCCGAAAGGCAGCGGAGCTGTATTCCCATGGTTCCCGGTGACCCATACGGGTTCATACGCCATTTGATCCGATTGGATACTGGAGCCGATGTACCCCATCGTAGCGGCTTTTAGTTTAACCGCTATCCAAACAACCTTCCTGACATGGTAAGACCTGCAGGGACAGTCCTAGCCAGTTTAGCATGTTGGGTCATTACGGCATTCAAGCCCGACCACCACGGCAAGGTAGCAGTTATCGGCCGGGTTTCTTTAAAGATGACGGGACAAGAATCTTAAACACAAGATGTACCCTTATACATACATATATTTTGTTCCTTTGTGTTCCGATTGGGACATAGAGCTTCCAAAGTTTTATCTCTGAAGTTTCAGTAGCAGTAATTCTAGTCGCACGCCTTCTCTATTTGACAGGATTACAACCTACCAACTAAGTGAGGTTTAAGGTTGCACCACCAGTCAGTCGATAATCGAACGCCAGATCACATGTCGTGGACGCTTTAATTTTGATTATTTCACTGAAGACCACTACCAGTTTGCCAAACAAATTTCTCTGAGATTTATTAATAAGAGAAAATATAATTTTCACATATTATATACATGTATAGGAGAGAAGACATGTTTTGTAAGTCAATCATGCACGAATGCACGCACACACACACACTTACCTCAATCATATCTTTGATATGCTTATTGTATGATATGCAGCCATTTGGCAGTGAATAAATATATGCATTTTTATTAGGTATACGTAATTTATTTTCACTCAACAATTTATCAATATTATTATTATTGGTATCATTGTTATTGGTTTTGTTGTTTAAACCCATAGTATCCGTATCATCGCCAGAATTTAACAAATGACGAAAATTTACAGGATAAGGTATATCGACTTCAGAGTGAACACGTTTGCCATCTGAGGAATAATTTTTGGTCAACGGGAGGGGGGAAACATGACAAAAAAAGAAAATAATGATAAATAATAACAACAATAATACAACAAATGAAACACTACAACTAGTGTGTACATAAAAACCTTATCATCAACCTTTCCTTTGGAGCAAGAGTAGCTGTGACTCATCGATTGTGGCACTCAACTTCCAACCACCAGTGGGTGCCAGGGTACAAATTCCACTCAACTCTTTAAGGTTTGGGCAGTCGGGTAATAACACTGGCTCATCACACACTATAGGTATGGCTTTCATTCTCAACTGTAGTGAATGGGGGAAGTGGTTATATTAGCGAACTTTTAAGTCACTCAGCTACAAAACAATATCCATCATAATGTCTAAACTCTTCTGCATATCCTGTTGTTTTAATCATGTAATTATATCCATGGATCACTTACTACACGGACATTTTTAATTGGCTTTCAATAAAATACTGTACATTTCCTGGAGGAAATGAAAAAAAACAGTAGAGAATTGGACTTTCTTACTATGGGACAACACTTCGTCGCATGATATATTGTAGACCACTATTATTATTCAAGATTTTGTTTGGATGGATTTGGTCTGTTTCAGGTTCAACCACTAATTGATGTCAGTTAGAGAACTATTAAAAACCATTAGGGAGTACTGGACAGGACAGTTGGTCCCGTTCTAGTTTGAGACTCATTGTCAGTATGTACTCACCAAAGGGGTTCGAACCCAGAACCTCCCAGTTGCAAGACAAGTTCGTAGGTTACTGAGTCACTGGACACGACTCAATGGCCAGTGCATGAATACTAACTTCTACCAAGTGGTAATAGTTTCGCTATTACCGCTAGCCAACTTCATCGGTGGCGAGTATTTGGCCTGAGTCCCACGAACGCAACGACTTCTCCAAGCAACTCCGTCCTACAGCCAGTCACTAACAAGCATCGCTGTTACTTTATTGTAGATCCTGTACAAAGAGGAAATATTTTGCGCAACTAAATACACTGTGGATTTTTGTACTATGTGTTAGCATATCTGAAATAAAGCTTTATTATCACTAATAACACACCATTTTCTTTTTTTTTGCTATCTCAATTTCTTATCAGCAAATAACACTACTCATTACCTTGTTTTAATCTAATATTAGTGCCAAATCCTGAACTCATCAACACATACAAAACACGCTGTATTAACCAGCTGTTCTCCTAAACTACTTATGTTGTACTCGAACAGCTGTAGATTGAATAAGTACATTTTCTGGGCGATTCTATGGAGAAAATGGTACTCTTTTATTCTAAAGTCTAATACTATGCAGATCTGGACTAGTTACCATAGGCGATCAGTTCGCATGCATCATTCCATTCTACAGAGGATCAGTTATGATTCGAATGGCTAATCTCTGTAGATGTTGGCTTTGTCAATGAATGTTCCAAGCTGAAATTGTGTAAGGGGTAACGAATACACCTTGCAGATGAATGTTGATAGATACGAAAGCTAAATCCAGAGTTGTTTACAAAATCAACACATATTATACCTCTTATCCTTTTTGTTATTTTATATATTTCTGTTGCCTACTTTGTTGTTAGTGGAAGTGTGGCTTATTGACTCAAGTACTGAACTTATTGCCAGGGTTCAAAACCTGTTCGACGTGCTTCGGCTTAGGGAACTGGGCAGTATCATCAGTACACACACATACAATAAGTGTGGCTTATACAGCCTCGTACGTGAGAATTCTTTCCCAGGTAACCGAGTTTTGATAATGAATTTGCTAGTGATCATTTCCAATAATAAGTCTGTCAAATTCAACAAGAGAATTGATGTGCTAAACTATGCATTTCAGTTGATTAATCAAAAGCTGCAAGGACAGTTTTCATCTGCGAGATTCCACCACATTTTTCTAGGGTTTTATACTGTAAACAGACTTCCAGTGAGTGCCGTTTTTAACTTGCCGAAAGCATGTGACGCCACTTATTTCACACTAAATGCGTTGAAAACAATGAGATTAACAAACTGAGACAAATCCGAGGAATACCATTTCAAGTATTCAAATATTTTCTTGCTAAATGTGATGCCTATTATTCCAACTCCATGTATTGCACTTAAGTTTATAAAGTTACTAGTATATCACCCATGCATCCGAGTCAGTAGTTTACTCGAATAGAATGCTCGCCAACCACGCACATGGACAGGATTCGATTCCCGGTGAACACATTTCTACACTTCACTTAATATGCTGGCCATTAGGTTATAGGCCCTTAAAAGAGGGAAGGTTTGGCTTGAGGCTAGTAACCTCATCCCTGTGAAAACGATACCACCGTCATTGAAACCCCATACTCCACCCGAGAATGCAATAAAAAATCATCATAAGTGTATAGTCAGTAAGAAGTGAAACGGATATCAACCGATGAAAAATGACAGAGACTGAAGAACAGAAAACCTACCGTACTATAGACAAAAGAAAATAAGCGGACATGATTTATCTGCATAGACTCTATCTTACTTGATGTAATGCACATTTATGCACACTCTAAAGCCAAAATACCGATGATTCGAAGGCGCCGTAAAGCATACTTTAATATTCACGCTAAATTAAAGTTTAAAGTATGTATTTAAGTCTTATTGAACAATAAATTTTAATTGACTTTTTTTTATATTTAGCTTTCACCAAAAATGTATTTCTCAAAGCCCAAAACAAAAACAAACTTTTTTCCTTTTACACTAGACTTACCGACAAAAAACAAATCAGAGGCTAATATGTCTTCCATCTCAAATACACGTTTTGGAAAAACATTACGTACTAGCTCTTCACCATCAATTTTAGTTTTCTCTTTGTATTCATTGAGTCTACTTTCCTCACTATTCATTTTTCAATATATTTGCGTATATATTTATCGAAATATATGTAACTAAAATGCAAAAGAAATATGTCGAGAAAAAAATTGTAATCCATGGAGTTTTGAAACAGACAAGATAAAATGGAATGTTTAATTGTTTCGTGCATACACTGGTCAGTCTAAATGCCAACATCTTAAAGAATGTAGCTAATCAGCTGAACTTAGTACAGAGTACTTTCAAAGGGAAAGAATGACTACCTGGCAGAGTTCCAATGTAGAACTATGCACAAAGTACAACACTAGGTTGCAGCACTCAAATATGGCACACAAAGATAAACAGAAAAATTCAGAATATAATGGGGAGAAATGGAGAAACAATCTCAACAAACCACTTAGTTCTTAGTGAAGGAGTTAACCAATGTTAAATCTCTCCCGTTGATGGTGATTGGTGCTGGTTGCTGTTGATTAGTTATCTTTGTCACCTGAAGTCCTGTCTTTGCTACCTGCCAGTTTGTTGCTTTTCGGCTGTAAGTCTCCTGCATTTTGCGTGACATTAGGCATAAATCGTCCACACGAGAAATCCAGGTCTTCGAGAGTCTTCTTATCGGTCAGTTCAACGTATCCCTGTCTTCGCCCCCCCCCCCCAAGTCACATTCTGACGCATAATCCAGTCGACCACAATTAAGAACATCATAGTGGGTGATAATAGACAGCCTTGTCTTACCCCTTTATTCACTTCGAACACCTCACCGTATTCCCCGTCGTGGATTACTTGCCACGTGGCATGTCATGTAGGTAGCTGTTGAATGAGGTTGACAGAGACTTGAAGTAGTTTCCAAATTACTTTTTGGTCAACGCTGTCGAAGTCGATGAAGTTGAGGTGAAGAGAGGTTTTACTGCCACTCTATGCTTTGTTCTGTGATGACGATGCGTAGAGTTGCAATTTGATCAGCAGATGATTTGCCTTTGCTGAATCCGGCTCGTTCCGGGCTGACGAAGTCCTGTGTTCAGTGCATGCTTCATCCTCCCTAGGATGATGCGACTTAGTATATTGCTTAGCGTGGAAAACAGTAGTATCTCACACCACTTCTTGCAGCGAGGCTTAAGTCACCCTTTTTTGGTAGCTTGACAAGGTAGCCAGCCTTCCTTCCAATAGGCAGGCATCATTCCTTCTTTCCAAACATTTGCAATTATGGCGTGAGCATGTCTGCCGCTGCCTCTGGGTGCGTTTTCAATCCTTCGAGGTGAGTGAATTCGGCCTAGCACTGCTGACTTCCCGGTTCGCTTTCAATAGATCGGTAGTATTCAGAATTTCTGAGTTCAGAGGATTGGTGGCCATTGGCAGGCAGTTCCATGCGTGCTGTCGGTGTGTTTCTGAGGGAGTTGCAGGTGTAACATTCGATAGCTCTGGCGTCTGCCTATCTTGACAATATCTAAAGTTCTCAACGCGTAGTAGATAGAACAGTTACATTGTTTCGAACTTATACTGCCTTTGGTCTTTTTCTATAACTCGTCAATACGATGAGATGCTGAGATCCTTTTGGGACCTATATATTTGGGGATTAAACTGTAAAAAGTTCGAAAGTATCTAAGAAGTGATTAAATAACCTCATTGTTGGCCTGTTACCAGGTACTCCGTGCTTTGTACGATTTCACTGATGGGAATAACAGCATAGTGTCTGAACACACATGGGTGGATCTCAAGCCTACTAAAATCTGGAAACATCGCTTTTCCAGTGGTGAGACGACCACTGATATTTAAATGACGCAGTTCTTTCAGTATTGTCGGATTTTTTTCCTCGAAGCAATACAATTTAAGTAGCATAGATATCACCCACGCACTACACAAAAGCAATGGCTGCGTTTAAACGCTATCATTTTTCACTCCTTACTAAGCCTGTCAAATTAGGAGACGCAATGATGTTACATATTGCTGTGTTTGGAGATTTTTGCTTGTGTGACCCTTAAATGTCGTAAAAACATAAGCATAAGCAGAAATATTCTTACCAACGTGCCCCGAATATTTGAACAAAATATGATGATATATAGTTAGCCGGTGACAGTAATGTCCATATTTTATTACAGACAAGAATTTAAGAGTAAAAGTAGTCGGTTCTACTAGAAACCTCGACAACCAAGACACTATAACCCACCACGTGTAGCGCAGCAAATAATTATTCCGCCTCCTCTTTTCAAATTTCTTTACATAAACACACCATTCAAACATGAATGAATAAAAGTTCATATAGAAAATCATAACAAGTGATTCACCGAAGAATCTCTTATCAACGGATTTGTCACTTATCTGCAAAGTTGTAAAATATCCAATGTCCTTTTCACAAGCTAGTATTAAACAAATTTGATTTCTTTGTGCTCACCTCTTGATCGTGAGGCATACGTTCATGTATAGGTCATCCCACCACTCGACTGTAGCAGCTTTGGTTGACTCCCAAATGAGTACTGCTGGAATTAATTATATGTGGTTCGTAGTTTAACTTACTACTGTGAATGGAGTTGATCTTTTCACCAGTTAGTCCTCCGGTATCGTCATTAAAAGAAATGTAATAATAATGATAGATATAATTAGAGAAATTATTCAGACTTACAGACAGAAAAAGAAATAAAGAAAACCTAATGACAGTCAGCTGACTAAATTTGAAGAATAATATGAATTATATATATATATATATGTATAAATGAGTGTGATCAAAGTTGTCAGGATAGTAAAACGTGAGAGAATGTAAAGAAGAAAAAAGACAAATTTAATTGTCTACCCCTGAATGGTGTATGGGATTTTAAGGGGATAGGCTATTTCGACGCAGTCCTTGTGTCGCTGCATGGTTGTCCAGCCTTTGCCTAAAGGTGCCATAGCTACATCTGCCGGTAAGGTATTCCAGGGACCGGCAGCGAAAAGATGTCGGGTGCACCTGGGTCCTTGCTCTCTAGTAAGCTTTCCTCCTGGGATTTCCAGGAAGAAACCCATGCCTACTCAATGGCAGAACACCCTTGTTTGGGTGATGCTGGTCATTTGTCATCTGACAGGGCAGTAATAATGCCCGCCCTTAGCCGACGGTAGCTTAGTGTGAGTTGGCCTAATTTCTTTAGACTTTCATCATACGATTTACTTTGAAGACCAACCACTCCTTTTGTTACCCGTCTTTGGACTCATTCCAAGAGGCTGGCGTCTCTTCTAAGCATTTGTGGTGTAATAATATTGTTCACTTCAAGGTGTGGTCTGATGTATGCTTCGTACAACCTAAGAAAGAGCTCAGGGGTGAGTACACCTAAATGTCTATGTGTAAAGTGTATGACCGCGTGTGCTCTCACTACGTCTCCCATGTCTCCATTTTTCCGTTAGAAGTAGACCTGAGTCACGCAACGACTTTGAGGAAGACAAGCTTTCATTGCATAGGGTGTAACTTGCATTCTGCAGCCCGCAAGTGCGTAGTTTCACTAATTTGCACACTTCCGGTTGAAGGTTGGCCACCACCAAGTCTTCCCGAAGGTTTAGATCTGCCTGCAGCCTGAGTCCTAGGGACGCTTTACTGCTCTCCATACATATACGTTGTCAGCTTGTATAAGAGTCGGGCAGCTTAGATGGAGTGGTAGGTCACCGGTAAAAATCGAAAACATCAGTGGCCCCCAGGATAGAACCCTGAGATATTCCTGATGACAGGCTGTGCCAGGATTATCAGATTCGATTGACGTTTGCATTTTGCTTATTCCCACCCTTGAACATCTGAGAAAGGATGGCTCTTTTCCACTCCCTTGGCAGTTTCCACGAATCCATAAGGGCCTACAGAGAGCTTCAGTGCATTGTTTCAGAACAGATGGCATGATGTCGTCACAACCCGGGTACTTCCAGATGTGAGTCTCTGTAGCTTCCCTAGTACTGTTGCCGGGTTAATTTGGGGAGTAGCCACTAGGTCTTTCTCCGGTGAAATAGCAGTGGTGCCATTTTGTTCCGTACCAGTAATACCCACATTGCTGTTTAACTGTTTGTCGAAAGCTAAACTGAATGTTTCGGCCACCTCCAGACTAGAGAGATATTGAACTTTTGGACAAATAAGGCGCATGCCACCCTGGTCAGTTGGTTGGCTTTCTTTCCGACATGAATTCACACAAGTTTCTGGAGTTTGCTGGGAGTTTCTTGGCAAAATTAGGCCGGAATGACCTCCTATCACTCCTGACTCTCGCGTCGGACCGGTTCCTGGGTTCCAGTTATGAGTCCTGCAGCCATAGCGCCTTCCGCCACAATATTCTACTGCTTACAAAAACAGCAACAAACACATGCTGGTATGATGAATAACAGGTTAAGGGGTAGACGTTACAATGCTTTGCGATTTAATCCACAACCCAGCCCCAACCACTTCTACCGGTCCACCCAGCAACACACGATATATAATCAAGGTGTTCCAAATCACTGGCACGACTCATGTCAGCCAGGATTACCTCATCACGTTGTGACTCGGATGTGTGAACATCAGGTTGTGCACCCTGCTCATCCACCAACTCTACCTGTGCTGATGCACGTATAGAATTGGGTTATAGGGATATTTTAAGCCAGTTTGTAATATACTGAGTTTTATTCACGATAATACTAATCAACACATGTCCCCTATTCAACAGGATTTCTGAACCAAGGACACTGTCAGGGAACTTATCCCTTATTTCGCATCGTTACGAAGGGGCTCCGAACCGATAAATACTACGTACTTTCCTCGACTTTAACTCCAAGACACTGGTATTGTAGGAAGGAAGTTATATTGTTTGGCAATTAAAGCGGAGGACAGTAAAAGTCTACAAACAAATATTTTATACAAAGTTATGAAGTACTTTTATTCGTTTTTAGTCGTCTTCATCGAACTTGTACACGATCGAACCATTCGCGCCTTCGAGTTTCCCAACAGTGGCTACCAGTTCCAAAAACAAACGTTCATTGTTCAGGTCCATTGACAGACGTTATTATTAATCACCAAGTCCCTTGTAGTTTCGATAACTGAATCATGGTGCTCATACTCTATACTTGA